GATTAATGCAACTGTATTTTATACCTAAAATGTACCAATAACCTTAATGGGAAAAAATATAAATAAAAGGCAAAATAAAAAAGATAGATAATAGGAAGTAAGGAGGCAGATCTTTTTCAAATGGAAAGGGGATCAAGAAGTGGAGGGAAGGGTGAGGGAGTGAATGGAAAGGAGATGAAAAAAGAATTAAGATGTGTTATGTACATCTCCCAACTCCCCACAAGGAAAGTAACCATTATGTACTGCAAGTATGTACTAATAAAAATAAAACCTGAAAAAAATGAATAAGACATTTTAAGGGTACAGCCACATCCATTAAAGGTAAATAATATATGATAAGCTTCTTGTATGATAATCTGCTGAACATTAGCATTTAATTAAAATAAATTTTTTATGGAGAGCAAAATCACACTGATAAAAGACAAAGATGGCTCATAAAACAAAGATGGCTCAAAAGCTTAGAAATATGTTCAAGTTTTCTAGTTAGCATAAAGGCAAAAGAAAACAACTAATGGACTAGTTACACTTAACAAACTGAAAATATTAAAAATGAAAATAGGCAAGATTGATTCATGTAAGGCTAAACAACCTCAATATTTCTTGTGAATTATATGGCATTAAACCTAAATAAATTTACATACATTTGGCTTAGTGTTATGGTTTGGATCTTAAATGGTCAATATGTTGAAGGCTTGAACTACTTATGGCTGTGTTGGGAGGCAGTGGGATTTCTAAGAGGAGAGGCCTAGTTGTGGAAGTTAGGTGATTGGAGGATGTGCCCTTGAAGGCCATATTGGGACCCTAGTGCCTTCCTGTTTCTCTTGGTGCATCATGGCCACCTTGAGATGAATTAGTTTCCTAGGCCACATGTTTCTGCCGTGATGTACTGCTTTGCCACTGGCCCAGAAGCAACAGTGCTAAGCCACCATGGGCTGAATCATCTGAAATAATGAGCCAGAATACATCTTCCTTTTAAGTTGATTTTCTCAAATATTTTGTCACCATGATGGTAAGCTGACTGACAACCTACCATGTCTATTTCTAGCAGTGTATCCTACAGAAATATGGTGTTATATTTAAAGATGCATGCACAATGAGTTTTAATTCATTAAAAACAACTGCATCGGAATTTATTGATTCACTTGAACTTTGATATATTTATAAAATCTGTTTACAGAGAAGTATTATTATAATATTATTTTTCTATTCTGAAATGTTAAATTCTTCTCTCTTCAGATTTTCTTTTAGGTAACATGATGGGTCCTACACATTTTTCAATAAAAGTTTATTCCTAGACAGTTTACATTTTAAGTTGTTCCTATGAATTCATCTTGTTTTATTATCTTTTATATTAAATAGATAATTTATTATTTTTTAATACAATGGGCTGTAGCAAAAAATCAATAAGCACTTTGATTTATTTGGATTTTATAGTTAGATATATATTGTTATTTTGCTTTATCTTTTAAAAATATTTATAACCCTTTTGTGGCTTTCTTATCTAATTGTATTTATGCAAACCTTCAGAAGAATTTTAACATATATAGTAGGGAAGTAGTATAACTGTAGGGCCAGGAATGGGCTTTAAATTTCATTGAATAATTTTTCAGTTATCCATTGAGATAACAATGTTTTATCTATTTTTCTCAGACTGAGATAAAAAACATATTAATTACAAAAATAAAACACCTTTGCTTCATTAATTTAAGCTAATTTATTTTGTGATACTGCTCTTAGCATATACAATCTGATTTGATTTGCTAAAATTTTATTAAAGATTTGATAGTAGGATTATACTAACCTTGTAACAACTGAGTAACTTCTTGGCCTTTTCTAAATCTATCTAATTTATAAGAAATAAAGACAATATGTTCCTTGAATGTTTGAATGAAACATTTCTTATGATAAAAACATTTAGAATTAATGTCATTAAGGAGTATTTCTTATTTTATTAAGGGTATGTTTATAATTATAAATACTAATAATTTTTAAACTTCTATGTATTTTAAATTTCTCTGGAATCAATTTTAGACATATATATTTTCCCCCAAATTGTCTATATTATCAAGATTTAAACATTTTATCACATATTTGGGGGGTTATATTTTCTTTTTAAATACTTGTTTCTGTGGCTACTGTTTATATAACTAGGTTGTTTTTGTCCTCTTTTCTTAATTAGATTTGTGCACAATTTATTTATTTTATTGGGCTTTACAGAGAACCAGCTCTTGGATTTATAAATTAATTTGGACTTTTAATTTTTATTTTGCATTTCATTAATTTTTTTGTTTATATTGTTACTTTATGAACTCTTTCCCTTTGTTTTTTTATGGTTATTTTATTTTTGCTGCTCCTATTTTGCTGGATCCTTAGTTCATCTGTATTCATTCTTTTTTAATAAGAGAATTTAAATATTTGTGTTTTCCTAAGAATAATTTCAGCCACATCCTATGTATTTTGATGTATTTTGTTATTGTTATAATTAGTCTATGATTGGAGTTTTGTTTTGTTCTTGTAAATAGAATTATTTAGGAGAGTTTTTTCTTAATTTTGCTGTTCTTTGATATTTATCTTTTTTATGTTGATTTCAAAATTTGTTGCATTGTGCTTAAAGATATTAGCCTATAAAATGTTTTCACTTTTTGGAACTGAGTTTTCTTGTCTAAAATATGATAAATTGAAATAAAATTTGTATGGACTTTAAAATGATACTTTATATATCAAGTACTATGGAGTGAATTATATCTCCCTCAGATTCATATGCTGGAAGTTTTAATTCCTAATTGAGATTTTGGGAGATGTGTCCCTTTGGAGATAATTAGGTTTAGATGAGGTTATGGGAGTGAGCTGACACCTCGATCTTGGACTTCCCAGCCAATAGTACTTTCTAAAATTATGAGAAAATATATTGACATTATTTATGCCACCCAGTGTATGTGATTTTGTTATGGCAGCCAAACAAACTAAACTGGATTGTCTAACCTGCAGATAGCAAATGGCACGTGACCATGGAGAACTAGTAATGCGATTGTACAAGACTGTAAATGTTTACCATTATTCTGTAATTGTTAGAGATATTTTTCATTACTTGATTCCATAGTGCTGGAATATGGTCTGCATAGCAGACAACTGAAGGTTGTGTAGGGGAAGGGAAGGTGGAGTGCAGTACTAACTCCTCCTCCGGTGCTTACTACACTCAGTTGAAATAAAACCAGATGTATAATAGACGTAACATATATAGCTTTGTTACTTATATATATTTGCTATGTTATATATTTTAAAAGTAGCCCAAGACAATTCCACTCATTGTGGACCAGGCAAGCCAAAACGTTGGACACTCATGAACAAAGACATCCAGCTTACTAATTAAGTTGAATTATTTTACTGTTCTTCCTTTTATTTCACCACCAAATATCAAGGCATGCTTTTAAAAATTCCCTTAATATGAAGAACTTGTTGAAGGAAAATGAAGAATGGAGAAACAGGAGTGTGCATTGCTGGAAGAAAGATTTGTACTAAAGAAGAATTAATAACTTGCCCTCAAATTCAAGTGTGCTCTGTTCCACACTGTTCCATATTAATTCAACTTGAAATGGGCAATGGCCTGGATTAAAACCCTAAAGACTCTTGTGGATGAACAGTGGGAAAGGTACCAGATGAGAGCGTTGCCGGGGATATGGAAAGTTATAAGAAATTGGAGGATTTAGAAATAGTCTAGGAGAAGACCTAGGTTAGACTCAGGTAGATCAGAAAAACTGGGATAATCAACCTATTAGAATAACAGAAAGACAAAAAAGAAATCATTAAAGATGGATGAGCAATAATAACATAAAAAGCTCTATGTGTAAAAGAGATTTGTGTGTAATTATAGGAATATCAAAGGATAGATTTTAGTGAACATACTATATTAGAATTAGGTGAAGAGTGTATAATCTCTCATAACTCAACTGTGCTAATTTATTTTCAATGGAAGGTGGCAATAACCACAATTTCACCAACCTAATTACTTGAATGTTTGTGCATCCTTTTCCAGCTGTTGCTCATATGTGACCATACTGGGCTGTGTTGCTATTTTATGTGGTGAAGAGCACAGTTTTAATTGGAAGCTGGGAACATGCCTAGGGCCAAGAAAGAAGTGGATTCTGTTTTTCTGGCAATCAAAGAGTCAGGAAGAAATAGCTCAGCATTTGGAATGGGATGAAGAATGTGTCAAGATTGGTTATTTTAAAAACTAACGACAAGACAGGACCACCCACAATGAAATAATGAAAAGTTTAAAGTAATTTCATACTGCTTTGATGGTTTAAATTGAACCATCTAATGCATCTAATTGAGTGATGTGTACCTGTGTACTTTGACTTATTTTCCTAAATGTAGTTCATGCACTGGAATTCTCTCACTGTAGAGGATATGAATACTTTTTCAGAGGCCTGCAACAGGTAGCAAACTGTGGGATACACAAAATGGAACGGAAAGTACCAGAGAGCTATAGGAGGAAAGATATATTTTAACCTTGAGAGCTATCACAAAGCTTCCCAAGATAATTATGATAATAATGAACTACAGTTTTCTGCTTAACAGGTCATCACAAAGATCATAGTTACTTAGCTTAATTCACATCTCCTACTAATTAATTGATCAGTGCACCAGATAAATATTATGCAGTTCGTGCTACATCCAGAACTCTGCTAGGCATCTGAGAGATTGTGCAATAAAACATGTTTCCTTTGTCCCAGAGCTGCAGTAGTGCAGGAAGACCGTTAGATCACAGTGGGATCAGAACACTTCGCTATAATATATTGGGGTCAGGTTGGCAGAGTGTCTGAGGTCATACACTTAACTCTATGATAAAAACTAGAATTCTTATTTCTTGATTTTGAGCTCACTATGATTTCTTCTCTAGCAATGCTGCGTGTTACATGCATTAAATATAAGCAAATTATCATGAGTTGTAGTTGCAAATTAAGAATCATAATAGATTTATTTGAAAATCACCAAACCTGGACGCAGTTGGATGGACACTTCCCCTGGTGTCACCTGAGTATTAATTTCATCTTCACTTGGTATTATGACACGTACAGATGGGTATTCTATGGACTCCACCGAACAGCCTTTGCTTATTAAATTGGGAACAGTATCACAGTGTTCACTCCTTGATCCACCTGAAATGAAATCCTGTTTAAAAGAAGGAAAATCACTGATTTTTTACTGCATATCATTTCATTTATAATCAAAGAAAACCTAAGATAGAAAATACTGCTCAGACACCTTTTCCAATGTAGAATAAATTAGGCAGCTGTTTAAAATAGCTGCATGTTTTCAATAAGAGTGCTGGCAAATTTATCATAAATAAAACTTAAATTTCTAAATCTCATTTAAAAAGAGAAAAATGAATTATTAAAGAGAAGATTTAAATGAAGCACTCTTAATGTTAACTGATCACTGTAAAATTATACCAGTTTAATTCTTCACTTGATCTTAGCCAAAAGGCCGAGAAGCGATACCAGTTTAATTCTTTCCAAATATTTTACTTTGGAACGATAGATCCAAATGAAAATTTAGCCAAAATAGACCATTCATTGCTCCCAAATGTGAGCCTCAGTTCTGAAAGAATTCAACTGGTATGTTTATCATATATTGTTATGTTTGCAATATGAGAGCAAGTCTTTAGAAATTATATGCCTAATTAAATACTGAAAATTCATAACAGAAATCTAATTTCTTAGACCATAAAATTGCCAAGCTTCTTATACATACAACAGTCTATAAATAATTCAACAAATCAAGGAAAATGCTTATGAAGAGATAGAAAGATATAAGATTAAAGCTCAGATTATCCTGACTTTCCAACTGATTCTAAAACTTTCACTAACATTCAACATCAAGTAGCTAATAATTATCCAAGATCCATGCAAACAACCTGAAATTGATGGAATAAGTTTTAATTTATCCTGACTGAGAAAAAAATGATATTCTTTTTCACATAACCATTCTGATTTTCCTCTAAGAATGGAAAATATATGGAAAATATTAATATACATTTTATTTTATGTTTCTTTTGTTTGTTTTGAGACAGGGTCTCACTATGGAATACTCACTATGTAGCCCAGGCTGGCCTTGAACTTGCAGCAGTCCTCCTGCCTCAGCCTCTTGAGTGCTGGGATTACAAGTGTGCAGCACCATGCCTGGCTATGTTTTATTTTCTATCTTCTTGCTCTGAATATTTGGGATATATGCTTATTCAGGAGCTGAATGTTTTCTCAGTGCTCTTCATGACAGTGGCTATTTTGATCCAGCATTCACTCATTCTTCCTTTATTTTGGATGATTCAGAGCATTGTATTTCTAATCAGTTAAGTTAAAGCAGGTTGATTGAATACTTACTCGGGGACCATAGTTTGGTAGGTGCCAAGTACATGGAATACAGCAAAGCAAATTGAGTCCTTATTATCAAAGTCAATAGGACATGGGAAAATTTGGTAATTAATCAAGTAAAATAATTATTATGAGAATTAAATTTAGGGAAGGACAGAATGTCAAGAGTTATGTAGATGGAATCATCAAGTTTATGTGGACATGAGTGTTGAATATGAGGTCACAAATTAAAAACAGGGACATTCTGGCACCGGTGAGTATTAGCTAGGATGATGACATATAAATAATATAGAGTTCTTCAGAGAAAGGTGGCAAATAACTACTACAGTATGAGTCACATTCTTTCAGAGAGCCACAAGCTAAGTAGAGGACCCAATTCTCCCAAGCGTGGGGAATACTGAGAATATGTTAGGTTTGGTATATGTTTACTCATTTATGACTCACATGACTTGTTCCAGATAAAGGGCCATATGCATTTTGCAGATGTAAGTGTCCCAAGATTTCAAATCATGGAAAAGAAATGATGTACAAATAGCTTTAAAGTTTCTCTTCAGTCAGCCAGGAAATCTATTATTTGTGTATACAGAATGGAGAAGAAGGGCAGAGAGGTTAATTTACTGTAACTATGCATCAAGCTATGTCATGTGACCTTTAAATGTCAAATAGTTTTGCTGAAATTGTCAAAATATTCTCAATTATTTTGCAATATCTGAATCAGCATGGTTGTTTTTACCCCACTATAAAAAATAAGTCAGGAAAACATTGCCATGGGCCAATTAGGTTTGAAAAGGAAAGAAAAGACTGGTGGCATCAAAGTTAAAAATGGAATGCTGCTCCTACCCATTGTGGCCTGCTTTTCACTTTGTATAAAAGAAAGGCAATTGGAAACCACACCCTTTTAATTTTGGGTGTTTTGTGTCATTTTAATTTCTTTTAATCCTTATGTTTTACTTTTTCTACAAGAAAATCATAGACAACCTCTGCCTCTATAACCTAGTTGAGAATGAAAAGTCCAAGATTAATGACACTGTGGCTGGCTTTGTGTCAATTGTTACTTCATCCATTTTAATATGATTTTCTGGTGATATACATAAGACAAGATTTCTCTCTGATTTCTGAGTCTTTTTGACTTCCAAACATGGCAACCTGCACAGAAGTGGAAGAGCCCTATCATCTTCCTTTAGACAGTGAATGTCCTTATCATAGTGTAGGACAGGGATGGCAAACCTATGGCACGTGTGCTGCAGCAGGCTGTTTGTATCATTGAAGGTTCGCCAGTACTAGTTTAGAAGAACTATCCTTCAAGGTTCTGCTCTTAACTTGTGACACCCTGTGACAGATGTATCAGTCAAGAAGAAAGTTCTTCAAAACTTGACATATCTAGCATAGACGTTAACAAGAAACATGAAACTCTGAGCTAGGTAATATTGATAAGGTCCTTTCTATCATAATGATTTTCTGAGTACTTTTATGTAGCATAGAAGGAAAGAGAAGATAAAGGATATGGAATGAAAGATTGACATGCTACGTAAGAATGCAAGCAAACTCAGTATAACCTGTGTACAATTTTTAGTGGCTCTTTTACTTTTGACAAACTTTGAAAATTATGTATGCCAGGTTTATTTTGTTACTGTTTTCATCACAAAACAAAGAAACTTCCTCGTTCTTCCCTTTCCTTCCAGCCTTGCTAGCTGAGAAATAAGACACCAGTTGCATCTGTGCTTCAATGATGGGTGATCTTCCAAAATTCAACAATACATTCTGCCTGCTTATGGTGCCAGGTCAGCCTGCAGGGAATGGACAGGTTCTTCTTTAGTGATGTGGATGATAATGATGGCCTTGTCCAAGCATGCTTCTCCCGAGTTTGTACTCTTCACCCAGTCAACGTTCCTCATTTTCTGAACTACACCAAAGTCTGTGAGGTTGCAACTCCTTTGTTTTAAGCAATGTCCATGTGTCACATGCTTCTCACATATTGTTTCATTGCATCTTCATGCTAGTGCAAGGGAGGTACAACTAGTATTTCCATTTTACAGCTAGGGAAAATTGAGGTTCAGAGTGATCAAGTAATGTGTCCAAGTTTACACAGTTAAAAACTGGTTGAACTAGGACTGGAATCCAGTTCAGTCTCTTTAGAGCCTAATTTTTGAATAAATTAGATTACACTGCACTGTGTAGAATATTTAGGGCATGCACAGCCAAGTGACATTCTGAATGTGTTTCTTGAGACATCACTGAAGGACTGCCAGTGAAGGATATAGCTTTGCCTCCTTCCCTCGGACAATCATCTTCCTTTCCCTTTGTCTTACCTTCTCTCATCTGACTTCTCATCTTTCTCAAAACCCCAAAACCCTCCTTCTGTGGTAGGACTGGCTATTATTCTCAGAGCCAAGACTTTGCTGACTTTTTGTGCCCGTTGGAGTTGTGAGATGGAACAGGAGTCCCTCTAAAATCTGCCATTGAAATGACTGAAAACTGGGCTTCTGAACTATTGTTTAAAAGTTCTTTCAAACATCCCTCCTGTAAGCATTCTGTAGCCAAGGTCAGGTTGGCTCAGACTTCAGGGCTCTAAGAATCTTCCTTGGTGAAAGAGTAAGAATTTAAAATGGAGTACTGGCTTAGAGTTGGGAAATACCAAGCCATGAAACCTTCTTGATAAAGAGAAAACCTACAAGGAAATTCCAAATTTGAGTTTATAGAGATGAGAAAAGGGAAGTTCCAAGAGTAGATGAATTCTATCTTGTCCTTGGCTTATCAGAAGTGATGGGACTGGATCTAGACATTCTAGAATCTTCCTCTGTATGATCTTCATCACCTGTCTCTACAGGCTGTGAATCACTTCCTAGTGTGTGAATGACTTTGTATTTTCTCACTGGTGGAGCCCAGAATATATCAAAAGAGCTTCCAGATGTCAGCAAGAAAGGGCGACTTGTGTTTTGTGTGCTCCTGCCCTGCCTTTAATCTGACTTGGCTCATAGAAGGAATCGATGCCCACACCCACAGTCATTGGCTACTTTTCAGTTTTCTTTTTCCTTCCGGGGGATGTCCCAGGACAAGCAGTAACAACGAAGGGCGGAAGGATGATGATAAGTATAGTTGTAGTGTTAAATCAGAGGAGGCAAAAACAAGAGATTTATCTCCATGTCAAGCAAAAGGTCCTTAAAAACCTACCAGTTCCAATTCCCAAAAGCTACATAAATAACTGTAAAATTGCCTAGGCAACTGCATCAAAGAAAAAATTCCCAATATAGCAGAAAAGGTTTTTTTTCATGCAACTTTTTATATACAGGTAGTTCTAATTAAAAAGAAGGAACAAAAGAAAAAATTTGCAAAACAAATTTAGAGCCAAAAATGCATTATAATTGTTATCCTAAGAGTTTTGTGTTGAGGATTTGTTTCTCTTGGTAGAATACAAATATACTAATTTTGAACAATAAACATTTTCTAAATTATTCTTCATTCCATGGAATTAAAAAGTGCCCAATAGCTCATGAATAGGCTCATGTGTCAAAAGAAAAGGATCACATTTTCCATAAGTAAACAACAAATTGATGCATAATATTAGGAAATGTAGGACATGAGTTATCTTCAAATATTTCAAATAAAAACAAATGGAATAGACCAATAAATTAGCTTACTTTTCTTTAACAAGGAGATACAAGAGAACAATCCAACTTTGGTAAAACCTCACACCTCAAGCCTCAGCAAGAATTTCACACCAAAGCTTGCTGAACTATCAAAAGTTACTATCTGTGTTTGCCAATCCTGTGTATAGAACATATGGAAAACATAAAAAGGTTTGTACTTTATTTCAAAATTACTATAATTTTCCCAATAAAAAGTTATATTTGATTTTATATTTAGCCAGATATGCTATTTCCAACTGCATAAAACCAAATAAAAATTTTCCTGATGCTCAGTATTATCTTTTTTTCTTGATGCACCTTCAAGACACAAAATATTAGGGCAATGAAAAAATGCTGGAGACAAAGTCAAGCATGAGGAAAAGAAAAAAAAAAAGAAAACAAAAGCAAAAGCACACCTCTTGTACACACCATCCGCATTCTGGACCCAGCTCAAGGCACCTGGCACACGATGCTGTGTTTGAAGAGACGCATCTATTGCCTTCTGTAACAGAGGACAAATGAACCATTAGGGTTACTCTCATTAGGAAGGGATACAGTTCCAACCAAAATGTATTTTAAAAACTAAAACAAGATGATCTTTTGTTTTAAATACATGATATCAAATAATGAAAAATTTAGAGTTTATACTGTTTATTGCAACTAATCTATCCTGGGATGATTACTATTTAGTTTTATAAAATTAGGGGGAGAAGAGAGTAACAAAAATGTGATTTTAGACAAATTTTGGGATTTGGGCTGAATCTCACTATAATAGTATGAGATCTTCCAAAACTTTTAGTGTGTTGAAATCTTGCTAAATTTCATATTCTCTGAATCAAGTATTATTTTTGTTCTAGAGTTTTTTCTGTAAAAATGTTTACAATTTTTATAGATGTCAATTTTAACAAGTAAAGCTATGTTGAGTCATAATGAATGAAGCTTCTGAGAAGTAATCTAGATGGACATTTAAAAAATTACAATGGAAACTGACTGTGTTCATCATGATTATTTTGGTGTGAAGAATATCAGAAAGAGAAATACTGGCATGATTCAGTATTTTTGAAGTGAAATATTTAAACTGAATGAATTGTTTCAGTTAGCCCAATTTAATTTCTCAGACTGGATTTCTTTAAGGTCACTAAGAATTTACTTTTCCATAGATCTGTATACTAGAACATATTTTAATAGCATAATTGTGCCAGCAAATTATTTTTCCTTTATTCCTCTATATAGTAACTACTTTAGGTTAAAATAAGGTTCACTATTACAGATTTCAATATGTAAAGTATAATACAGAATGAGTCACATGCCATTTTATCATGAGATTGTGGTGAGCAATACATTCTTTCCACACTTTGTCCTTTACCATGAGAAGGCCTAAGGATACTGGAAATCACATGTCATTGTATCTGCCTCACTCGTAGGCACACAGTGTATGATGTGAACATCCTGGATCTAAGTAACTCAAAAATAAGACATACTGTGACAAGCACAGAGCAATCTCACCAAATTACTATAGGAGCCTGGAGGAAGGGGCTTCTCACTCTGGTTTAGAAGGAAGGGTAGTGGTGGAAGGAGGATGGTGTCTTTAAGGCTAACCCAGAGGCAGTGCTATCTGGTACCTCTCTCTGTTGTCTCAGTTTGTTTCTCCTAACTGTGTTCATCTGCTTTAAAATATGCAATAGGCATTAAAGAAAAGCATGTATGTGTGTATCTGCATACACAATCACGCAAGGACGTGGTAGTTTGAAGGAGATACAGAGCATATCCCTATCCCATTCCAAATGGTCTCTCTCTCTGAACGTTCCCCTACATTGTGGAATCAAGGGTAAGGGAGTTGTTAACATGATGTGCTGTGGGTGTTGGCAGTGCGCAGAGAGAGAGAGAAAGGGGGCTGCAGCAGAGATGCTAACTGGTGTTGCAGTGAGCACCTGTCCCTGCATTCTCCCATGCCTGGTTTGGATTAAGCTGAAAACATCCTTTCCTAACACCCTGGAGGTTTTATTATTTCTCAGCATCTCTTGTACCCTTTGTGCTTGGCTTTATGTTTTTTCATATATATTAGCCACAAGTTCTTCACTGATCTTTCCATATCTGGCCTGGAATTCTAAGAACTAAAAATAACTGTTTTGGGCTCCCTTCACTCCCAGCTTGGCCACTTAAGTATAAAGTCTCCTTAGCCTAAAAATCTTCCATCTGGTTTAGCTTGCAGAATGTAAAAATTGCTTAGTCCTAAAATACTCAAAAGAGTGAGTGACGTTTTTAGTTTTGTTCCCAGAAAAAACCAATATAGGTCTAGAAATGAAGCATGTTGGCAATCTGCCATGGTCTGAGTGCATTCCCTGAAATTCATATGCTAAAAGGTGGTCTCCAATGCAATAGTGTTAAAAGGTGGGGCCTTCAGGAAGTGATTAGGTCTGAGGTCTCCCTTGTGAATGGGATGGGGGCCCTTATTCCATAGTGTATGGCCCTTTGCTAGCTTCTGCTTTCTGCCCTGCGAAGGCAGAAGGCCCTCGACAGACATTGAATGTGCATCTTTCTCTTGGATTCCAAAGCATCCAGATCTCTAAGAAATTTCAGTTAAGGCTGATGATTTAGCTGAAAGATAGAGTGTTTGCCAAGCATGCAGGAGGCTCTGGGTTTGGTTCCCAGTCCTGCAAAATAAAATAAAATAAAATAAAATAAAATAAATTTCCGTGGTTTATAAGTTATACAATGTCAGTTATTTGGTTATAGCAACATGAAAGAACTAATACACAGATCTAACTTGACTTTTAGCAGCTGTGAGCCTTGAGCCAAGTGGAACATAGGGGGAAGTCTATTTCAGTTCACACTTGACCAAGCCTTTCACTCAGCAGGCAGAACATTTAAGACCACAGTGTCATAGAAGGGAAGCTGCAGAGGCTTGGACTCTGATTTTAATGATTGTTGGATTCTGTCCTAAGTGGACCCATATTCCAGCTCAGTTTGGAATCTTACTTTCATAGCACACATGGTACACAATAAATTAACAAGCAAAATTATTTCTCTGTATTCACTTTTGTTCAAAAAAACTCCAGTGTTATCCTTTCTTCTCAAACTGCAGGCATATAAATATAGTGACTGAGAATAATACAGACTTTGGTCCTTTCAATACTTCCCAGGTTCCAGGGATGACATTTCTTAGAATACATGTGGAAAAAAAATCCAGTAAATGGATCTGGAGGAGGTAGGCCTTGTGGTTCTGCAGAAGTGGAGGAAGGTCATAAATTGAATTCCATGGGAACAGTGTCAAACATTATTTCTGGAGAGTATTATAGTTACACTTCACAGGAGAGATCCCAGATACACTTTGACATGGCATTTTAAGGGTTTTGTTTTTTAATTTTAAAATATGCAAGTGAGTAAAATACCTAACATGCACATATTGCATCAGTTATAGCAATTCTAGTTACTGAATAGGCAAATTATCACGAGTGCTGTTAGTAAGCATGTGCTAAGGATCTCTCCCCCACCCCACCCCCATGATAGCAGGAATCTCTACACTGCACACACATCAATGCACTGCTGTTTAAAGACATTGGCATCTATCATCAGCCTCCAGATCTGCCCAGCTCATTTTCCTTCCCATCCCTGATGCAAGTATGCACATGGGAAGCTTACTTTCCAGTGGTGGTTTCCTAGCAGCCATTGGCACTGCCCTGACACCTCATTAGGGTGTGTGACTGAGTAGTTCTTCTTCCCACTCTACAATTGTGGTTGCTGCTTGTTCAACCATTTGTCCAGTGATGTTTCATGAAACATTCTATTCTTTATATTCTAGTGTTGTGTTTTATGGTGGATAATTTATTGATCCCAATGAAAATTCTTAGCACATGTGAAGTAGAATGATGTTTTTAAATATATGTCTTCAGAGCCTCCTTTTCCACCTCTTTGCTTTAGTGCTTCATGCCTCATGAACAGCATGTGACTAAAGTGTGTTAACTTGACAAATCAGTACAAGATTTAATGGCCTCTTGCCAATAAGTGGATATTCTAAACAATTCCATTTCTTGATCTACAAGTATCAGTTGCAGTCTTACTTTTTCCCTTTATGTTACAACTGGAGATAACAGATGAGATGAGGAAGTATTGCTGAACAATTACTAGGAAAGAACTTTCAAACTTCCATAGCACTGACACTTACTAGCTGTGTGCTCTTAGGCTAGTTCCTTCAAATCTGTAAGCCTTCATTTCCCCTGCTATAACACAGGGCTACTACACTCAGACCCAGTGCTAGTATGAGGATGAAGTGAGGCCAAGCATACCAGGCATAGCGCTCAGGGCACAGAAGGCATCAGTAAAGCAACTGTTATAATTTTATTAGAAATAACTGTATATTAAATTATATGTCTCTCTATATATACAGACATGTATGGATGGATACCTATATATGTATTTATGCACGTACGCCTGTGTGGTGTGTATGTATGCGTGTGTATTTAATTGTAAGTTCAGGAAAAAAAGGGAGATGTTATGTGTCTTTAAATTTGTACTAAATGAGGAAAAAGGAAGAATCAAGATATATCATGTACAGATGTAAATTCTCTATAATAAATGTGATCACCATGCATATCTAAAATGTACCAATAAAATTAATCTAAAAAATTTTTGTAGGAAATGTAATTTGCTGTCCTTCATATGAATATCCATTGAGTCATAAATTTTAAAAAATATAGCTAACATAAAAATATATACCTATTTAGTAAAGAGTTACTGCATTTAGTTTTCAATACATATCAGTCCAATCTATTATAAATACAATGGTGACATAACACTGAAAATCTAGAACACCTTCATTTTTTTC